TTCTGCCACTTACTGCAACCCCTCAAGATATAACTTGCACATCCTATATCAGGCCAAGCAAAAGCATCACTCAATTTTTATTTTTACACTTGTCCAAACAGAGGACTGCGTAGTGATGTTTTTTAAATATGGCAATAGTTACTCGGATCCTCACAGAAGTGCTGATTCCTACGCAAGTGATAGTGTTATTTTTCATGGCCCACAGATTTTTCGGTATTTAGAAAGCGCTGCCATCTTTGAACAGGGGTGGGGACCGGAGCAGGAATTCAAATTCGAATTTCAACCTAGACTCTATTGCGTTGATGTGCAGAGAAACAAACGACCTTTCTATACTCTAATTGTTTAAGACGTACTCGTCCTGGGAATGACGATAAACTGCATCTGGCAGCTAGGCCTCTTGATCGGGAGATTGGAGGTTTTGAGGAGCGTGGAACCACCTCTTAATTGCTAGTCCTGGGTATGATGATAAACTGCATCTGGCAGCCTGGCCTCTGATCGGGAGATTAGAGGTTTTGAGGAGCGTGGGACCACCTCTTAATTGCTGTTGTTTCCAGGTCCACGCTGATAGAGTTAGGGTCCCAGCTATGGGCAAATAGTGAACGCCCACACAAGAATCAACGGTACATTTTTATAATAAAATGAGCAAAAATAGATTTTTACAGCAAAATGACAATCAATGAAACAATAAAAAAAAAATACATTTTTATAGTAAAATTACCAAAACATATTTTATGATCTACAAGCTGTCAGGTCATCCCATAAGTTCTGTCCGAATTTTAACTTTTTGTTAAAATGAACGAAATTTAAAGAGTATTTTATAATGTCTAGTGGAGCTGAACATTATTTTTATGTTTAGATGCATTTAAACTGATCAAATTTTATTTCAGAGAACAATAAAATTAAATATTGTTTGATTAAAACCCTGCTAACATGGAAGTACACAAGAATCATTTGACGCACATAATGCTTTATGAGTTCAAGAAAGGGAACTCAGCAGCCGAAGAGGCTAGAAACATTCACTCAGTTTATGGAGAGGAAAGTGTGAATGAAAGAACTTGCAGAAGATGGTTTGCAAAATTCAGAGGTGGAGATTTCACCCTTGAAGATGAAGATCGAACCGGACGTCCAGTTGAGTTTGATGAAAAGCTTCTTGAAGCAGCCCTTGAAGAAAATCCTGCTTTATCAGTTGAGGAATTGGCAGTGGTTCTCAGTTCAAACCATACAACTGTTCATCGTCATCTTCAACAACTTGGAAAAGTTCCTAAACTTGAAAAATGGGTGCCTCATGAATTGTCTGAAAACAACCTCAAATCCCGAGTTGACATCTGCTCTTCTCTCCATTCTCGCCAACTTGTTTCACCTTTTTGGATAGACTTGTGACTGGCGACGAAAAATGGATCTTTTATCGAAATGTTAAGCGTCGTAGACAGTGGCTTGGTAAAGGGGAAGGACCCCAGCCACAGCCGAGAAGGGAACTTCATGGGCAAAAGGTTCTTCTTTCAATCTGGTGGGATCGCCAAGGAATAATCCACTTTGAATTCTTACCACCTAATGCAACAATTAATGCTCAAATATACTGTCAGCAATTAGAGCATTTTAACCAAGCTTTGAGGAAAAAAGACCTGCTTTAGTGAATCGAAAAGAGGTGATGTTTCAACAGGACAATGCGTGACCCCACACAGCAAGAATTATGTCACAAAAGATCGAAGATCTTGGTTGGGTGAAAATTCCTCATCCACCTTATACTCCCGATTTTGCTCCTTCAGACTACCATTTGTTTGGTAGCTTACAGAATCATTTGGAAGAAACAGCTTTTGTAACACAGGAAGAGGTTAAAATTGACATTTGTGAGTTCTTCGAATCGAAGCCAAAAGAATTTTACAGTAATGGAATTAGTAAGCTTGTTAATAGATGGAAGGAAGTCATAGAAATCAGGGAAAATATATTGTTGATTAAATCTGTAATTAAATGTAACATTTGGTCACTTGTTTTCTTTATTCAAAATTCGGACAGAACTTATGGGATGACCTGATATATATCTAAAAAAATTAACGTAACTTTACCCTGAAAGTATCAAATTATATACAAATTATCCGTAGTTGAAGCCATAAAATTGTGTTCAAAATATTTAGATTTCGGCATTAAATAACCCATACAGGTGTTGATATGCCGTTAAATTAAATCAACCAACCAAAAATACATATTTATACATTTTATCTCTAGTAAAAGCATATAATTGCGTTCTAAATATATTTAGTTGAAGCCATAAAATTGCGTTCAAAATATTTAGATATCGGCATTATATAACCTATACAGGTGTTGATATGTCGTTAAACTAAATCAATCAACCAACAATACATATTTATACATTTTATCTCTAGTAAAAGTTATATAATTGCGTTCTAAATATATTTAAGCCATAAAATTGTGTTCAAAATATTTAGATTTCGGCATTAAATAACCCATAGAAGTTTTGGTATACAAATTCTATACAAAATATCCATAGATATTTTATTTTAGATTTCGGCATTAAAGATATGTTACTAAAGAAAACCAATCAACCATTGAAAATACATTATTTAAAAGTAAAATTTTTTAAAGAATACATGTATAGAAATTTTGATAAAAATTTTTGTATTTGAGGATACCCGTTTAACGTTGGATGGCTACCCAATCCCTATTGCAGATTTTTTGCTCAGGCGCATTTGTGTTTGTTCAACACCCACAGAGCTGAAACTATGCGGTTTAAACTGCATCATTATTAATTTAAAAGTATGGGATTATCGCGTTATTTAGTTAAATCCGAACAAACCAACAGGCTGAAAAAAGTTATCCGTCAAAATAAAAAACATTTTTTGTTCTGCAATTAGCCCCCACCAGGAATTTACTGTGTTTTTTCATATCACAAAAATTGCATTTTTTCAATTATAGCCGCATTTTGGGATCGACTTATTTCAAAAAGTCCGATAACAAAACAATATACTCTTTAATGACAAATCGATATGGTGAATTCGAACATTTGGTCTAAAAAAAAAAGCCAACGTTCATAAACCAAATCGGCCATGTGCCCATACCAGTAATACATATTAAAAGCAAAATGACTAAAAATATATTTCATATTTAGCTATAAAATTTGTTTAGATTATTTAGATATCGACATTAAATAAAAATAGCGGTGTTGATGTAAAGATAAAAAATTAGAAAACCATGAAAATATTTTTAGAACGTCTGCTAATAGAAACTGGATCAATTTTATGAATAGTGTTGAATTTTTACAAAATTTCCGCACTGGACTACGGTATTCGCTATTATTGTATTATTAACCCATGTCCTACGTGTGATTAAACGTTTTTGTTTTAATATTTTCTTCAAAATTTTATGAAAATTCAAATATTTTAGAATTTACGAGCATTATTCAGTTTTTTTTTTTTATTTCATAATAAACTTGAGAAAGGCATGAACTTGTTCTTTCTCGCCATCCGCCGCCAGATATAGGTTAAATTGCAGCGTAAAGTGTCCTTGGGTGGAAACCAGACTAAGAGAAGGGAAATTTCAATTTCAAACTATGGAGAAGGCATTAGGAAACCATAATTAAAATATTTTTAAAATTTTTTTTATTTAACCCATAGCTGGGGGAGAAAAGGTAAGAAATATATTGTTTTTCCAAAAGGTTTTTTAAGCTTGAATGAATCATTATGGAAACCTAATGAAATTCTAAGTCAATCTTGATTAAAATTATGAGAATACCATTATATTACACTCACCGCACAGCACATGGTATTTTCAAGCGGTCACGGATCTTTTTATTGACCAGGCACGACATTTCTTTCATCATTTGATCGTGATAAAACCGATGTTTCAATATGATACAAATTTAAGCCCCTATGGTATTAATGATGTTATTTTTTACAACATTTGTTAGAAAGATTTTTTAAAAAATTTAATTTTTATCATTTGTTACAGGGAATTTATTTTCCTAAATGGTGGATGAAGAGGATAATTGAGCTAACAAAGTTTTAAGTTAAAAGAAAAAAACTTTGAGAATATCATGGACCAAAAAACAAAACAAAAAACTAAAAATACAAAAATAAAAACAAAAACAAAACTGAATTTCATTAGGAACAAACAAAAGAGTGCTGAAACATTAAATTTTATATATATTTGAGGATGTTTTTTGTCTTTAATTTTCCTTCATTTTTCGTTATAAATTTTATATAGGTTTCTTACATCATGAATTTTTTCAACGATATTTTGATTTTTTGCCATTTGCGTTTAAAAAAAAAGCGAAAAAAATTCAAATTTCAACACATAGTTTCAAAAAAAATTTTAATTGGAAAATATTTTTTTCATCTATCTTTCAAAGCAATCTAATATAAACTCCACTTTTCAATCATAGCCAACAATAAGTTGATTTTAACAGTCATTTAACTTGATTAATTGAGTCCACCCATATAGTGAAATATGGCGTTTGATTTAAAAAAATGGCGATTTTGACATTTTTTGAATATCAAACATTAAACACTTTTTTTTCAGATTTTGTCTCTTGATTTTTTGGAACAATATAATTTCTGTTTGATCCATTGGTAACTTTGACACACAGAGGACACACTTTATCCCAAAAAATTTAAAAACTTGTTTAAATTGAATGGCAGAGCAGGTACTGGGATGAATAGTAAAAGGACAAATATTGTTTTGTGCTACATGAGATAAGAAGCTGTGGAGAACCATGAACTTAAGTGACACAGCAGGTAAATGAAGATATTCATCAGCGAACCTGTTTGGATCAATTTAAATATAACAATAATTTTGTTCAAAGAGTTTCTCAAAATAAAAAAAAGATAAACAGAAAACAGTTTCTGGTAGACGCTTGGAGATATTAATAAACCTAATTCCCAAAACAATGACTTCCTATTGCTTATCCTTTTCTTTAATTTAGATCTTATTTAAATTTTATTGAAATTTTTATTTCTTTATTTTTTTTTTGAGATTTTTACAAAAGAATGCCAAATTCGTGTCTGAATATCGGTAACTGTAGAATTTCGGGAGGCAAACATTTATTCGAATGTTTTTTTTTTCTTTTAAGATGAAATAGAAACAAAGTTCCAAATATAACTTCTTAAACTCTATTGGCTTTTCAAAAATATTCGATGTAATGGCGGCTGATAGATATAATCAGTGGTTTATTTTTTATCCGTTGATATTTAAATTTTCGTTTTTATTATTTTTTCTTTTTTTTTTTTCTTTTTTAAATTTTTTTTTTTTAGAATTTTTTAATATGAGTTTTTTTTAAATTTTAATATTTCTTTCTTTTTCTTAAATTTTAATAAAATTTTTTTCTTTTTCATCGACATTTTTTTAAATAGATATTTTTTTTTCTTTTTTTTTTTTCTTTTAATAATATATATTTTTTCTTATTGAAATTTCAATTTTTATTTCATTATTCTTTTTTTAATATATGATTTTGAATTTTACAATTTTTCTTTCATCTTCTTTATTTTTAATAGATTGTTCTTTCTTTCTTTCTTTCTTTCTTTCTTTCTTAATCCATTTTCTTCCCTTGTTTCTTAATCTTTGTCACTGTTTTTTCTTTCTTTACGATTTTTATTCATTACCATTCTTTAATTTCCATTCCTTTTTTTTTTTTTTTTTTCTTTTTATTTTTTTTTTTTATTTTTGAAAAAATTTTTTTTTTTCATAAATTTTTTTTCTTTTTCATTAATATTATTTTTTTCTTTCTAAATTTTTTCAAATTTTTTCTTTTTTTTTCATTTTTTTTAATTTACTTTTTTTTTTAAATTTTTTTCTTTATTTTTTTTTCGTAATATTTTTCTTTCTTTCTTTTTTTCAAGTTTTTTATTTCGTTCCATTTTATTTTTTTTTTTTTTTATTTTTTTTTGATTTTTTTTTTTTTTAATAACTAAAATTCTTTTTTTCTTTTTTTTTTTTCTTTTTTTCTTTCTTTCTTTATCTTTCTTTTTTTTTCATTTTTTTTTCCTTCTTTTTAATTTTTTTTTCTTTTTTTTTTTTATTTTTCCTTCATTACCATTTTTTTAATTTCTTTTTTTCTTTATTTTTTTTTTCTTTCTTTCTTTTTTTTTTTTTTTTTTTGTTTTTTTTTTTTTTTTTTTTTTTTTTTTTTTCTTTCTTTTTTTCTTTTTTTTTCTTTCTTTTTTTTTTTTTTTTTTTTTTTAATAAATCTTTTTTTTTTTTTTTTCCTTTTTTTTTTTTTCTTTCTTTTTTTTTTTTTTTATTTTATTTTTTTTTTTAAAATTTTCTTTTTTTATTTTTCTTTCTTTATTTTTTTTTTTTTTTTTTTTTTTCCTCTTTTAATTTTTTTAAAAATTTATTTTTTCTTTTTCTTTTTCTTTTCTTTATTTTTTTTTCCAAAATTTTTTATTTTTTTTCTTATTTTCTTTATTTTTTTCTTTTTCTTTTCTTTTTTTTTTTTTCTTTTCTTTTTTCTATTTTTTCTTTCTTTCCAAGTATTTTTTTTCTTTTTATTTTTTTTTTTCTTTTCCTTTTTTCTCTTTTTTAAAATTTTTCTTTTTTCCAAAATTCTTTTCTTTCTTTCTTTCTTTTTTTTTTTTTTCTTTTTTTTTTTTTTTTTTCTTTCATTTACCATTTTCTTTTTTTTCAAGTATTTTTTCTTTTAATCTTTTCTTTCTTTTTACAGTCTTTTTTCTTTCAAATTTTTTTATTCTTTTCTTTTCTCTTTTTTCTTTCTTTCTTTCTTTCTTCTTTCTTTCTTTCTTTCTTTCTTTTTCTTTATTTCCAAAGTTTTTTTCTTTCTTTTCTTTCATTTACCATTCTTTCTTTCTTTTCTTTCTTTCTTTTTCTTTCTTTTTTTTCTTTCTTTTTCTTTTTCCGTCTTTTTCCTTCATTTACCATTCTTTTTAATTTCCCTTTCCTTTTCTTTCTTTTTTCTTTCTTTCTTTCTTTTTTCTTTCTTTCTTTCTTTCTTTCTTTCAAGTATTTTTTTTCTTTTCTTTCTTTACCATTCTTTTAATTTTTTTTCGTTTTCTTTTCTTTCTTTTTTTCTTTCTTTCTTTTTTCTTTCCCTTCCAAGTATTTTTCCGTAATCTTTTCCTTCATTTACCATTCTTTTAATTTCCTTCTTTCTTTCTTTCTTTCTTTCTTTCTTTCTTTCTTTCTTTCTTTCCAAGTATTTTTTCCGTAATCTTTTCCTTCATTTACCATTCTTTTAATTTCCCTTCCCTTTCTCTTTTCTTTCTTTCTTTCTTTCTTTCTTTCTTTCTTTCTTTCTTTCTTTCTTTCTTTCCAAGTATTTTTTCCGTAATCTTTTCCTTCATTTACCATTCTTTTAATTTCCCTTCCCTTTCTCTTTTCTTTCTTTCTTTCTTTCTTTCCTTCTTTCTTTTTCATTTTTTGTTTCCAAATGTTTTTTTCGTAATCTTTTTTAATCCATGTATTTTCCCGTCCTCTCCTTTCTCTTTTAATAGTGATCTTTCTTTCTTTCTTTCTTAACTATCTCCCCTTCCTTATTACTATTTTGTTTTCTTTTTCCTTCTCGTTTTTGTTCTTGTGTCCCTTCCATATTTTTCATTCCTTATCTAAATCTGTCAACGATATAATCACATTTTCCATTTCTATTCCTCTCCCTCTCTCTCACATTTTATCAAATATTCATTTCTTGCCTCTCATTTATTTGCACCCCCCTCTCTCTCTCCCGCTTCGTTCTTTCATGTCGACATTTTTATTTTCAGCAAATCATTAGCCTCTTCCACTCACTTGATCCTTATTTTAACCGGGTTAGCAACGCCCTACCCAAATGGCAGTCAACCAGCCAGACAGTCTTCCTGTCGGCCAACGAGCCACTTCAAAGTCGCCATCGTGTCCTTCTCAACAACCAAATGTTGACCAGTAGTCATACGATCTTTCCTTTTACCGACGGCACAATTCATCCTGCTCAGATCAATGCAAAGTCGTGCTGGAAAGTTCTCGGTCCAACCAGGAAGTAATAAAAAAAAAATATATATATTTGCTGATTTGTTGAGAATTCTGGAGGTGGGTCAGACCTTGAAATTTACGGCCACATCACGTTGAAATACCGGTTCTCGCACAATCATCGAAGTTAAGCAACGTCGAACCTGGTCAAAAATTAGAATTTGAATTAACAGGTGCTGTAAGCTTGGATGTGCGTATGGCGTAATGGATAATGGTCCAATATAGTTAATCGGAGAGCCAAGTTCAAATTCCAGTTGAGTTCGTTATAGTCACTTACACGTAAACTTGGAAAAGATATGAATCGACTCCTCCCCTCAGCTATGGGTTAATTCGTAAGACGTATCACAAAATCAATATTATTTTAAAAAAATATTCTTAAAATTTAAAAAATAAATTTTGGCTTTAAATAACCTGTAAATGGTTAATAAGACGCAAAAACGACAGAATAGAGAGTAGGCGATAGTAAGGGACAAATATTGCTTAGAGTTACAAAGGTTAGGAAGTTGTGGAGAGTCATGATCCTCTCGACCAGAAGAGACAGAAGGAAACATCAAGAATTGCCTGTTTTGTTAAATTGTTGTATTTGGAAGATTGAAAAAAATATATATATATATATATATATATATATATATATATATATATATATATATATATATATATATATATATATATATATATTCAGGTTGTTTAATGACAATTTTATATACTTATCAATATCTTCAGTGTTGATAAGTCTCCATGTTTGTTGTCTGTTTCTTTTTCTCCTTTTTGTTTTAAATCATTTATTTTTTTTTTATTCTTTTTGGCCTATTCCCAGTTGTTGACATCCATATCATTATGAAACGTTGATCGGTTCTCCTACGGACACCGAGCTTAAGCAACGTCGAGCCCAGTCAGTACATAGACGGGTGACTGATTGGGAATAGCAAGAGCTCTAACCTTGAATGTGTGTGTGGTGGAATAGATAATGTTTCGGGATTGGAAATCGGTGGACCAAATTCCATTCAGCGCCTGAAGATTGCGTTCAAGAATCAAACAGACTGTCACTGCTTGGTGTTGACTTTTGGGCAGAAAAATTTCTTTCATACGTTTTTAAAAATTTATTAATGTTTTATTTAGTTTTTCAAGCGTTCTTACATTTTTTTTCCGTTTGGTGGGATGAAGGGAGCAAAAAAAAAAAAAAAACTATCCATACCGCCCATTGCCCCAAGGGCTTTCGGCCAATTCCTTAGCCATTTCAAGAGGTTTTTCTTTTGACATTGTTAGTTTCTCTTTGTTAATTTCTGCACTATTAACGTTATTATTTAGTAGGTACACGTGTTTGAGTAAACATCCCACTTTTTAATAGTAAAATTAATGTTTACCAGCTTAGACATCAAGAAATTCTACCAAGGGAAATGTGCCTCTCGACACGAATCGAAATTGTAATAATTAATGTAAAAGTCCATTAATTGAATATATATATATATATATATATATATATATATATATATATATATATATATATGAAGAAATATAGTTTTAAGGTGTGCTATATTTATGGGATAAAGTGCTCAATATCAAAGATAGAGCGTATGCAAATATAAATATAAAAGTGAAACATTGAAGTCAACATTCAGGCGACAGGCTGTTTCATACTGGACGCCTGGCTCTAACGATTGCGTCCAGCAGTCAGTTATGTGCCATGCGTGATAAACGCTTAGGCGATCATATATCTTTCGATACATGACTGACGAGGCAGATTTTTTCCCGTAGTAGGTTGCCATTTCTTTCTGCGGCAGACCAGTTGCCATCCAAAGCTATAGAACACGGTCTGTCCTGCTATTTACCCATAGCTGGAGGAGATGAGAAGGATTCGTACTTTTCCCAAGGGTATTAGCACATAAGTGAATGTAATGGATTCAACTAGAATTCGAACTCAGCTATCCATTCCCCATTACTACACCGTGCATCCTGAATACTAATAGGAGAGTTTATTCCGAGCCTTCGCGGGTAGAGCGTGGCTGGAATTCAAACTTTCTATTATATATATATATCAAATTTTCTATTATATATATATATATATATATATATATATATATATATATATATATATATGAATGGTTTGTATTCAGGCAACAATTCTTCATTTATGTATGTTTCATTGTGGATGAAACTCAGAGTTGTGCTGCTGGCAAGAAAAAAATATATATTTATTGTTATTAACATAACTTAAAGTTTCGCTGCTCTACCAACTCACCAGGCACGAACTGATACTAGTATCATTAATAGTTCGTGCCTGATGAGTTGGTAGAACCACGAAACTTTAAATTGCACTTCGAACGTAGGTATATGTAAATTTTTTAATATATACTTTGTCTGACCACATTGAGCACTGTTTTGTTTAGACCTTATATTATGTTGAGTAAATATTTATTCGCTTACATGTGTATGCACGCTAACGCAAGTACATACGGTTGCTAATATCGAGTTATTTGGTCTATATCCACATTTATACCTACATATATATATGTATATATACGAATTTCAGTCGAATCCATTGCATTCACTTACGTGCTAATACCCTTGGGAAAGGTATGAATTCTCTTCTTCTCCCACCAGCTATGGGAAAATAGCAGAATAGACTGGGTTCTATAACCTTGGGTGGCAACTAGGAGAAGGACAACTCTGAATTCAAAACATGCTGAGGGTCGTTTGGTGACCTTGTGCCACACAGCGCACCAGGTCTCTGTATTCGGCCCTTCCAAAATGTCTGGCTGGTTCTGCACAAAGCCTTCACCACTGTAATCAAACCATATATTCAGGTGTCTGGCTGTCGGTTCCTAGGAACTGAGTTGCTTGACGCTCATATGACGAAAACCACGAGAGAGTCCATATATATATATATATATATATATATATATATATATATATATATATATATATAAGGCATGTTTCATTAAATAATTTAGACAAGTTTTTTCTACTTATTTTCAGTTGGATCCTTTCTTATTTATTTTGGTGTCATTATTAAAAGAAGCGAGAAAATCGCGGTGTTGATACATATTATTTTATTTTGAGAACTTTCGGCAAAGCACAATGTCATCATCAGGGTGTTGTTTATTACAAGACAAATATTGTAGTGTTCATTAATTTCGAAGACAATATTGTTGTGTTCATCTGAAAGTTAAATTTCTTACTTGTGAAATGAAGAACGCTGAGTCATTGCATGATAGTTACCTCCCCTGAATCGATCTCAAGCTAAGTATGGTTGTGGAGAGTTTTGCGAAATAAGTAGTAAAAACTATTAGTCCAAACTTTGATATTGTAAACTCTCTATTGCAGACATTTTAAAACATTTGTGCAGTATTCGTAATTAATTTTATTAAGGTTTAGTTTCAATTTTTTTTAACATAGATAGTCTCGAGAATTTTTACTTTATGTTTATTCTTTACATGAAAAAATATAAAAGTATCTTCGTCAAGAATTTTTCTGAATTGCGAATGTAGACAGGTATGTTGGAAATGATTAGAAATGTTAGACATATCATTCAAATAAAAATTCTCGAAGCTATATAAAAAAAAAAAATTGAACCAGTCAGTTAAGTACCACACGTGATGCATGTATGTTTCGGTATATGACTGACAAGGGAGAAGATTTTTCCCGCAGTAGGTTGTCATTTCTTTCTGAGGTAGACTGGTTGCCAAAAGGTTAAAGAATCCAGTCTGCCCTGCTATTCAACCCATAGCTGGGGGGAGAAGAGATGGATTTATACCATCCCCAATGGTATGTGTACGTAAATGAATATAACAAATTCGACTGGGATTTGAACTCGGCTCTACGAGTTCTCATTCCGAGCCTATATCTATTGCTCCACAATAGATAGTTTAAAACGTCAAGGTTTGCAAGAGTAAAAGCTAAAGTTTAAAATAAGGAAAAATAAACCGAGGGTTAAATGCCGGCCGACAGAACTTAATTATAATATATCATAATAACATTATTAAAACAATAATATCAAATTCCACTGCTCAGAGATTTATGTAATGCCAATCATCAAACGGATATAAACTGGAACCAGTAGCTATAATCTGATTTATATAATGCAAAGGTGGTTGGTGTCTGCTACCCCGGATGTATGATTTTAATGACGTAATTATTCTTAGGATTACATGCGGCCATCAACTCGTTTCTCTTATTGAACATCTGGTAACACATTAGCTGTGTAGGATTAGCAATTTTTCACTTAAGCACAGATTTAACTCTTCTTCAAAACTGTCATATGATTTGGCTTTAGCCAGAATTTTCCATGTGATTGTTGGAGCTTCCATCCGTTGCTAATGACGTCACAATAGCAGGTAGAAAGAGTGCTGCTAACTTTGTAATTTCTGTTGCACGGACTCAACCCCAATCACACACACACACACACATATATATATATATATATAACTTTGAACTTATATATATATATATATATATATATATATATATATATATATATATATAAAACTTTGAAATTTGAAATCTAGAACGCTGCGTAAGCAATAAAAATCGAACAGTTGAAATGTTTAAAATTCACAGAAACATATATATACACTCACAGACAAAACCCCCTGCTGATAATCTCAGATGAAATTGAAAGTACTTTGTAAAATAAAAACTATTCGAAAGAAAATTTTGGTATTTTTCTTATTCAATTTTCGAAGTCTACTAAGAAATTAATCCGAGAACTTGAAAGATTTACAACGCTAAAATAAACAACATGATATTATTTAACCAAACCTGTTCGAATCT